CGCTCTTCCCACGGCTGGAGGAGGATTTTCTGCACAAAGACAAATTGGGAGCTCTCTGTCTCACTACAGTCGCATGTAAAGCATCACCTCTGAACACAGACCCAGACCTTACCTTGCAGATAAATACTCAGTGTGTTAGCTAGCCCTGAGCCTGGCAAGTAATACCAGCAAGAGGAAGAGCACATTCATGCATGCATGCATGCATTTATGTCTAGAGTGATTCAAACACTTGCTGTGGGAAATAAAATCTGTAGCCTTTTAGGTTACTAGAAAAATCAGGAGAAATAACAAACTTCTCTCTGAATGATAACACAGAAGCTGAACAGACCTATAATATATATCAAATGCATTTGTACATACATATCTATTTAATCTGCTCTATAAATATTTTAGGTAAATAGGTAGATAGATAGAATTGTGCAATGATTAAAAAAAGTAAACTCTCTTGCTTGGTATTCTAGTCTGGACAGGATGAAACAAACAAACTTCATAATGCCCTTAACAGTAATTGGTGAACTCTGCTAATGCATTTGCTCTCTATTAAACCATGAACGCAGGCAGACAGATCGGACAATGCTAGTTCAGACTGCCAGATTTCCAATTCCCTATCACACACACAGGAGGAGAATAGCTAAAAAAGGAGAATGCAACATAAGGTACGTGGCAGCTACCTTACGTACCAGGTCTCACACAGACCTGATGACAGTGCACCCTGCAAACCAATGACCTAGCACAGAAAAACATCAAGGAAAACTAATTTTCCAGCCTTGCAAAGAGTTGACAACAGAAGGCCAAAAAGCACAGCACAGTATCTTGTTGATACAAGAAAAAAGGAAGGAGACCTGAGAAAGGAGGAGGTGAAGAAACCAGAGAGCTGTCTGGGAAGAACTAGGCAAGCAAGATGTTCCGACAAGTCATTACAAATGCTTTTCTCCTAAGCGCCAGAACAACCAGAGCCAGCATCAGGCCTTGCCTTGGCGTCATCAGCGTCCCGGCTCCATGACTGCCTTGGAAAGGACAGACCGACAGCAGCATAACACTATGCCACGTCGCATTGGAAGGGCACAGGCCTGTTGGCTCCTGCTGGAAACTACTGCTCACTCTTGGCTGCTATTGCAAGGTCCATAGGCTACTGACTCAGTGGTTTCTCTACTCTCTCCTCTAGCCTTCTTTCAGAAAGGTACAAATCACTCCACCCACTGCTTCTTTCAGTCTGCTTTCTTCCCAGGCATGCTCCTTACCTTGCACAATTAAGTAAACCTGGGAAGTCTTAGGGTGATGCAGCGTCTGCACTGAGCATGTATAGGACCCCTCATCGTAGACATCCACTTTCTGGATCCGCAGGCTGTATTCCAGTGGGTTTCTTTTCTCCAGCTCTACTCGAGGGTCCAGGGACCACTTGTCCTCTCCAGCAAAAATGATGCCAGAACGGTTTAACCAGGCTACCTTGGAGCTTCTGTCTTCTACATAACACCTGGAGAGGGTGAGAAAAGCAAGTGGGAGATTAGCAAACATCTCCATCATCTCCATTTTGTCCCTTCCCTTTTACCTCTTCCCTCAGGAATGCCCCAGCACACTCCTGCTTTGCCAGTGAACCACAGCACCTCCTCACCATCACTGGCCTGTGGCCATGTATTTTAAAATGCTTCTTCAAGGCGCTTCATGAACATTTGGGATTTGGGGCGTCTTAAGGACCCTGACTCCTGCTCTCCCCTTCTTTTATCTGTGGCCTTCACCTACACCAAAAATGACACTGGGAAGGCCACAAGAGTTTGCGTCCTCGTCACCAAATCCCTTCCAGCCATGTCAATGGAAAAGATCAGATGGAGTTCTTCCCATGCCTTTCCCTCCCCTTCATAAATTAAGTACATAAGAGGGTTATATTCCCAGCCCGCTGCCAGCCTGGAGGGTAAAAGTTTAGGGCTGCAGCTTTGTCAGCTCAGGGTGCAGCTGCTCCAGCCCTCATTTTCAGTGGCACAAGGGGAGCTAAGGTGTATCCATCTCCTCTGCCACCTTGATAAAAAATAGCTTTGTGGAAAGAGAAATTCCCTCCAGAAATACCTTGCCCACAACACACACGTCCTTGCTGATGCACACCTGCCTGCTTGTGCAGGCAAGCACAGATTTCATGCTGAAAGCAAAAGGTTGCAGGGATGTCACCGCCATCCCTGTGACACATGCAGCATGTCCTGTGAACATCACAGGTGAGACAGGAGAGGATGAATGGCAGCTCGGGTGGCTGGCAGAGGAGTGGCAGCAGGATCAGCATCTTGCATAGCCCTAGTTGCCAGCCATTGCTAACAGTTGCAAGGGGAAGGACAGACTAATACTACTGCAGCCGCATGGCAAAGGTGCCTCTTCGACAAAAAGGGGAGAAGGTGCTGCAAAGACAAATGTATTTTTGGTGAGGGCACCTGCTCTGGACTACTTTCCATTTCCAGAACATGGTTTGCACAGAAGAGATGGAAAGAAGCAAACGAGGAGACACTTTCTCCTCAATCTCTGCTGTGTCTGATTTGAGAGGTCCAGGGCTGAACAAGACATGGGTACAGAACTCGTCTCTCACCCTGGCAGCCATACCAACTGGGGCTAGGCTTAGACAGGCTGGTAGGGTTTGCCCTGCAGCAGCCCACACCATGTTTGTTCTGCAGATAAAGAAAGAAGTTCGGTTTCCAGAGCTCTGTCACTCCTTCACCTCTCAGAGCTCTACCCACTGCCTCCAGGAATCCAAATAACCCAGAACTATTCACACACGTGTTGTATTTGTGAGATAACAGAGAGGGGAGAAAGGTTATAGCTTCAAGATAAGGCAAATATTTGTCAGTAGGCTTTCATACAGCCTCTTCGCATGGGTCAGACATTTTCCAAGTTCCTCTGGTTGAATGCAGTTCATTCACGCTGCATTGCAGCTGCCGTCCCATGCGCCATGACCCGGCGAGCATGGCCTGCACCTCTCAGCCCCTCCCTAGCAAACCTGCCCATGGAAGCTGTCTGAGCTGTTCTGGGGTTACTTGTGGGGCAGGAGGAAAGCTAAGCTGTGTGGGAGTGGATGGAAGGCACGCCATGCTGCTGGCCAAGCTAGAAGCAGATCTGTCTGATTTAACAAACATTTGCTTTAGAGAGCAGCCCCAAAGACCCCAGCCAGCACAACTGCCTGCCAGCCACGAGAGGCTGGTGTGGGTTCACTCCTCAAGTCAGAATTCATTCTTCCAGCCAGACAGGCACTTGCCCTTTAGTTTTTGTTTTTAAAAAGCTGCTCTTCAGAAAAAGAAAGGGGCAGGGAAATTAGTGAGCAGCCATTTACGTTTAGAAAGCAGCTCCATGGCTTCAGCTGCTGGGGTACATGGCGGTGCTGGTTCAGGAAGGCACTGTGCCCAAGAGCTGGGAGTGCACCGGCTGTATAGGGACACCCAGGCTGCTCCCAGCTCCCTCTGCCTTGGGATCACCAGGCTTGTCACACACGTTTCTATGTAGACTCTTAACAGCACCGAGAATCAAAGGACTTGATCTTTTTCAAAGGTACTTAAAACCCCTCTCCACACATTTTGGATTTATGAAAATCTTGAGGGGGATGGTGGTGAGCACCTAAGCAGATTAACAGCTGAGGCTGAAGTTAGTGGGAGCTGAAGTTTCTTCGTCACTTCTGAAAATCCCCTGGCATACCTATCAGTGCTGCTCAGCATCAGCTAGCTGAATATCATAGCTCCACCACACTGCACCAACACAGCCACACTCCTCTCTGGACCTACTTTAGCGCTGCTACATGACACAGTGCAGCAGCCTGTGCTTCTGCCCCACAGTCGTCAGTTATGCCTGTCTGCTTGGAGCTAGACAGACAATTTCTGTGCCCTGCCCTATGACATTGCACAGCGATGTCCTTGCGACTTCCCTCAGGTCTGTAACAGCTCAGCAGTCTCGCCGGAGCAGGCCTCCGCCTCCCGCTCCCAAGGGAACGCTCACCCGGGGACCCTTGCTCCCTCCACAAACAGAACTGTGCCTCTCTGCCTACATCCGGCAACTTCCGACTTTACCTGCCAGCCTTGATTACTATGGACAAAACATCCATCATCGGAATTTCCCTAAAGCCATTTCCCCACAAGGCCTTGATCAGAGACCAAACTGTGGCACAGGAAAATAAACGCTACCATCCATTTGCAACGAACAGGGAATCCAGCTGGGCTTCTGCCTGTCATTACCTAGTGGCCTTCCTCTTCAGCTGAGAGGGGGAGGAAAAGCATTACCTCAAGATATGCTGTCCTGGAGAAGATAAAAAGCGTGCTGTAGCCTGTCTGATGCTGACTACTCCCGGAGGTCATCCCCAGGACATTGGTCAATAGCTACAATCAGACAACCTTGCAAGTGCCCCTGAAATAAGTTAGCAGGTACTATCGAAATAAAGTAAGAGGGAGAGAGAAGGAGAGGGAGAGCAGGAACATTGGAGGAGCAAGTGAAATGGATTTGAGCTGCTCTGTGCAGCATACCTGTTCCTCTAAAACTGTCAGAGAAAATCAATGTACAAATGTGGAAATTCCAAGCCCTGATACGCTCTGAACATACATCAAAGTGGATGATGTATCTCAGTAAGTCCATCTATACACCCGCACCCTCTTAGTCTGCCGGAGATGCCATCAAGCCTTATGGATCACACTTTAATAAGGATTTATGGTGATGATTTTCACAGCCGTAATAAGTGCTAATTCAATACTAATAGAATATTAAATGGCATGTTAACTGACATTTTAACTGCAATGCAATAGCACCATGGCATCTGCAAGATATCAAACGACTCTTATCGTTCACTAATAATCAATAGTCAAGTTTACAGAGCTAGTCAAACACTTTTCATTAGGCCTACTGAAAGTGTTACCGCTAGCATCGGTGAATGCTAATAAACTATTTGTGAACCACTCATCTGGCTTTTCCTTATGTTTTCACATCTAATTTCTTTGCGTTTGTTGATACAGCTAACGAGAGAACCAACAAGTGGTGATGGTCATGCTGTGGATGATCATGTGAATCACTGCAGAGACTCCAGAACAATGACTTTGGTTCACTGCTGACGTTAGCACCAATTTAAACCAAAGACATATATGGAAAAAAAAAAAATCTTGCTGCAATACCGTGTTAGCCTCCCTTGCCCTCTTATAAACAAACATAGTTTGGCGGCTTTAAGGTACTTAGCAACTGCATCATTTTTAAGCTGGTATAGATGTGTTTCCGGTTCTTATACAGTGATTAACAGTCATGTAACAACTAGCCAGGAGATGGCAACTGGAAATTGGAACTGGAGAAAGGAACCTAGGAAATTCTCACATACTTCTCTCTGCCTCAGTTTCTCCTACGCAAAACGCAGAAAATGATCCTGAGCCATTTCACAGAAGAAAGAAGCAACGATGCCTTCGCTACATGAAAGCACCTTGGGATCTTCAGCAAGAACCATCACCTTTAATGTGAGTGAGGAGCACTACAGAAAAAGTTAAATGCATCAGGCAAATAAAATCCTGCCCCTCTTGCTTTCTCCAGAGGAGAGTCTGCTCCTTTGTTACTGACTGCAGATATTTATTTGCACAGCCAGGACCAGTTCCATATTGCAGCACTGTTAAGAAAGTAATTAATCCTCAACAGCAAAAGATCCCTCTGTGTTCAGGTCTGCGCCTTGGGACAAATAGTCATTGTGTTACAATGGCCTACTCCAACACTTGAGATGCTGGATGCTGATGTCACGTTACGATGGCACCGTGCCCTAGACTGAAGTATATTGCTGCACCTGAAGCAAAGCCGGGCACCAATGTGCCCAGCAAGAATTTAGCAAAGGCCCCACAACTGATGCTGGAATGCTTCTGCCCATATGAAATCCCGATTTCATCGCAGGCCTACCCTATCCACACAACTTCTTCACCAATTTCTACTGACAATTTCTACTGAGCCAAGGAAAGGAGAGCGAGGCTTCTGCACCCAGGACAGGGCAGGCACAGCTCCTTGCTGACGGGAGCATCTGAGACGGAGGAGGGCGACCTCCAGCAGTTTCCTCTCTCAGTGAATCCCAGTCCTGTTGTTTTGCTGCCTGCTCTGCATTGCTCCCTTCTCCCTGTCTTCGTGCTCGACTCCTAGCCTCAGCACTGGTGTTTGCTGCTTCTCCTCCCGCCGAGACAGCGGCACGCAGTGCATTAATTTCCCAGCATGTTGTTGTAGCACTTGCAGCAGTTTATGTGGCTCCTGTCACTCCAGCAGCTCTCGTCCCTAAGCTTCCTGCCCTCCCTCCCCTCCCGCAGGCAGGCGGGCATGCTGGCAAGAAGTGGCGTTTGGCTGGAAAGGCATGACAGGCTACCAAGGCTGCATTCGTCATCTGCCGAGTGGGAACTGCAACCAAGGCCTGTCCTGCCCTTTCCTGGGAGGTGATCCGGGCTGAGGTGAGGAGGAGGGGAAGCAGCCCTGGGGCACACCAGAGCGCTCCCCATCCGCCTTCGAAACAGC